GTACATATTAGCACCTAAAATGTACATAAAACCACCTAAAAGTTACATATTAGCACCTAAAATGCACATATTAGCACCTAAATGTCCATATTAGCACCTAAAATGTACACATTAGCACCTAAAATAAACATATTAGTACCTAAAATGTCCATATTAGGACCTAAATGTCCATATTAGCACCAAAAATGTCCATATTAGCACCTAAAATACATATTAGCACCTAAAATGTACATAATAGCACTTAAAATGTACATATTACCACCTAAAATGTACATATTAGCACCTAAATGTCCATATTGGCACCTAAAATGTACATATTAGCACCTAAAATGTTCATATTGGCACCTAAAATGTACATAATAGCACCTACAATTTACATATTATCACCTAAATGTCCATATTAGCACCTAAAATGGACAAAAGTTTGCCATTTGAAAAGGTACTACTACAGCCCCAGTGACAGCTTTTGTACCTTTTTTTCTGAGAGTGTATATTCACTTTTCTCACCCTTCTTTCTTCAACTATAACTATTATATACTATATTATATATGCACTTCAGAAGCATCCTGTGTTCACATATTTTCCCCCACTCCCTCATTCACTCATGTACTATTACATGTTGCACACAGAATTTGCAACCTGTCTGTGTGTGTGTCCGTGCGTGCCACACCTCATTTTCATGCTGTGGATGTGCAAACGTCATGCTGATGTGGCCTGAATTAACATTAGTGTGCCTCAGCCCTAAAGTTCCTAAACAACAGTGGCATACCCTCGTGTGTCTCAGTGTGTAGATGTGGGTCTGTGTTTGGCCATGCACACCAGACAAGCCATATGTGAGTGATGACAGTGTACGTGCGTGCATGTGTTTAGAGAATGCGAGGCAGTGGATCATGAACAGTGGAGTGTGTTTTCTGAATGTTAATGTCTGTATATTAAACTGTATGTGAACAGAATACAATTAGCGTTGGCGCAGAACTGCTGTGATCTGTTTGTTTAATGTATGTATTTGTTTATGAGGAAGCATCTGGGTGTATATTTTTTGTGTCCCATGGCATTATTTTGCAGTTAAACCTCTGGCTCAACAGATGCGCCTCTTTGAAATATAAGGGAAGGTACAGTGTGTTTTTATTTGTTTGATTATGTTAATGCAGCCTGGTTTTATTGTTAAAGTGCACATATTATGCTATTTTAAAGCTTTGTTTTGGAGGTCTCCTACAACAGGTTTACATGCAGGTCACTTTCATTTTCCCATAATATACATTGTCTCATTACACCACATTTTTCAAACGATTCGTTTGAAGATTCAATCTCTCTAAACCCCTCCTTTCCGAGAGCCTACTCTGCTCTGATTGGTCAGATGTCCCATTCTGTTGTGATTGGTCTACTTCTGCGTAGGGGCGTGCAGTAGGTACAGCGTAGCATACGCACAGACGCGTCCCATACCGCGTACCTTTCGCCATAGCCTGACGCGCACCTCCTCAAAAATGTAACTACACGTCGCAACCACGCGGACCGCAAGACCGGTGATTGGTCGGCTTGGTAGCATCGCATTTCCTTCTACGCATTTCCACATGTACCATCTCCTCCGACGTCTTTTCTCATTTCTGCCTTACAGTTTTAGTAATTTCACTAAAATTAACTGTTTTTTCACCTCAATAATCTCCAACTCCAACATGATCCACTCTCTTTCAGTCGCCATTGCTTTTAGTAACCTAGCCGCGAGGAATCTAAACACAGTTGAACATTAATACCCTCCGCCGCCAACTAGCGTTTCGGAGCAGTACTGCAGAGCAACCAAGACCTGAACGCAGAAGTATAAATGCTCACAACGGCATCGCCTACGTGCGTAGCCGACGCCGTACACTCGACGCAGAAATATAAATTGGCCTTTACTGTGCCTTCGAAAACTAAACGCCCATTACCTTCCTGCTGAATCCTCACCAACTGTACACAATGTAAAGATCGTATTTGCAAATGTCCATGTGCATCATAAGAAGTGGATGTTTTGGAAAGTGCTGCGGCAAGTTTTTGTGCCGTCTGATGGTTTAGAGGAAAATAAAACCAAAAGCGCCTTTTACCCCGTGTCGCCTTTAGCCCCGCTGTACCCTACACAGTTGAGCAGAGGAGCCCTGATTATGAATTCAACAAGCTGAATGGTTTGGTGTTTCCTTTATAATGTTTTTTCTATGGGAAATTACATAAACAGGGATTTGCTCATTGACTTGTTTTGCCGTCCAGCTGGGCGTTTTATGAAAAATTGGCCAGTGCTAAGTGGTTAGGGTCTTTAAGATGGTTGCTAGGTAGTTGTTAGTGTGTTCTAGATGATTAAATGTTGCTAGGGTTGTAGATGGTTGCCAAGTGGTTGTTAGGGTGTTTGTGATGGGTTTTAGGGCACTGCTAGGTGGATGCTTATAGGTTTAGTAGATGTTGCTAGGGCTTTGCAAAGCAATTGCTATGGTAGATGTTTGCATGGGTGTTGCTAAGTGGTTGTTAAGGGTGTTTTTGATGGTTGCGGCATTACTATGTGAATATGGGTTTTGTAGATGTTTGCTAGGCCATTAATTGGTGCTTGTTAATGTGTTCTAAAGGGTTTCTGAGTTTCCAAGGTGGTTACTATTGCTAAATGGATTAAAGGGTATTGTACATTTTTGCTAGGGCATTGCTAGGTGGTTGTTAAGATGTTCCTTATGTTTGCTAGAATTTTTGCTAATGCTGGGCTAGTTTACTAATGCACACTTAATGACTAGAAAACATTCTAAGACTGAACTTAACACACTTACTGACTGTTTCCAATGACGGGAGCAGATTTTAAACAGACTGAACGCTACTGTCTCTGACTCGGCACGTTTTGGCATGATCAAGTTTTAAATTACATTCATAATTGGCCTTACAGTCGTTAAGTTTGTCCCCGGCTTAAGTGTTTGCTAGGAGTTTCTGGGTATTCTACAGTCTCTGCTCTATGAGTTTGCTGCTTCTTTCTTTTTTTCTTTTTTTCTTTTTTTTTTTTGCTGTCACCAAGGGAAAATCATAAGTCTGGTAATATTTGATGACACATAATTGTTGCCTTGTGCTTTAAGTTGCCCAGCTTGGTGCCTGCCAAACAAATTCACACTGGAGTGCTGAGAAAATTTCACTTGCAAATTTCTTCAGAGGCCACTTTTTGCTTACTCAACAGTGAGCTGAGCCTTTTCCAATGTACCGGGTTCTCTTGAACCTTTTTGATACACGCAGACACACTTAAAATTCCTTAAATCTTGTAATTCTTCGACCTCAGATGTCAGAATAAAGGCTGTAAGTGCATTGTGGGATAGCCGCTGTGTCTTCCACATGAGCGCACAGCTGCCCAGTAGCACTAGTGCCCTGAAGACTACAATTATAAGAAAGAAAGCAATGGCGTCTGAACAGCTTTTGTCCCCAGAGACCTGACGGATATTGGATTGTACTCTCCCTAAGCTGCCATGAACGTAGGTGTTCACCTGAATCACTGACAGCTGCTGATCCATCAGGAAGGATTCCATGAGTGCTGTAATTGAGCTCATCACTTGGAGAGTTTACAAAAACCTGAGAAAAACAGAAACCAGTAAATGTGCTTGTAACTGCCTGCTTGACGGTTTTGGATGACCTTTCTCTCTCTCGCTTTCTTTCCTGTTTAGCCCCGGCTGGCCTAAAATCTAAATCCAGTCGCTTTTTTGTCAATAATTCACTGCCTTTTCACGGCCATTATAATCCTCTTTCGAAGGGCACAGCATAGACAATCATCAAACTTGACTGTGTATGTGTATATGCCTGTTCGTGTGTGTGTGTGTGCGTGTGTGAGTGCAGTTATCACCCATAATCCTCATGAATGCTGACTGTTCTAGAAATGGGTCAGTTTGTTGCAGTCGAAGAGAAAGATGAGGTGAGAAAGAGGCAGGAACCAAAAGGGCACACATCACATTGTAGTTTTAAGAGAATGTTTAGTGTTTCTATTGGCCCTTTTGGTCTATAAATACTCTTAAAACACTTTTCACATTCTCACTTAATGTGTCTGCTAATAATATCCAACAATAGACATACATCTATCACAGGAGAATTCTTATACAGTACAAAATTACAAAATTATTTGTAATGAACATGACACTGTGGTGAAAATGGTTATGGTATTGTAGGAATATATATATATATATATATATATATTTTTTTTTTTCCTACAATACCATAACCATTTTCACCACAGTGTCATGCTCATTACAAATAATTTTGATGAAATGTCAGTAGAGAAAGAGAGGAGTTATAAAGAAATATTTCAGAGGCTAATTCCATTGGCTAGGACAGTATTTCTGTCATGAGAACTCTCGTTATGTTTGTCATATAAGTATTTAGTTACAAACACGGTAACACTTTATAATAACTACACACTAATAATCATTTGGTAAGCATGAGTAAACAGTTAATTCATCATTCATAAAGCAAGACAGTAATAAGAAGTTTATAAATACAGCTAAAAATGTTTTCTTCTTGATTTTCTTCATATCTATAATTTGTTTTGGCACAAGAGAAAAAAAAATTTGTAAACGCATCACAAAACTGTATACCCATACAATATCTTTATACAACAAAACAAAAATCCATAGTTTTTTGTCATTTTCTGACTGCTCCAACACAGTAAAAAACGCAGTGTCAAATTAACACTTTAAGTGTTAATTTTAACACTACTCCGGATCATATATGGTCCCACTCTATCTAGAGTAAAAAGTACACTGTTTGTAGTGTAGAATTTACAGTGTTAATACAGCACCGTACAGTGTAGAAAAATTACACTGTGAGTGTTAAGTTTTACACTTAAAATTTTTACACTCTGTGGTTTTAACACCCCTGGTGTTGATTCAAATCCATTGCATTTTACACTATAAGTGTAATTTATAAAAGTATTCTGTTCAGTGCAAAAACTATTTACACCATTATATAGTGTTACTGTAATGTACAAGCTTAGACATAAATCAAGACTCTTTAGACAGATGTACAAATCCAAAGTTTATTCAACAAATGGCAAAGTGGCCCCTTTAAAACATATGCCATATATGGAAAAAGTCAAATTGTCACATTCATTAGGAGTTTAGCAGAGAAAAAAAAGAGAAAAGGGAAAAAGCATAAAATCACCCAGTTTGCCTATACATTAACAAATATGACAGGTGGATTTGAACAAGATTGCAAAAATCTACTTGTCAACAGTTGTGTAGCATCCATGAATGCAGTCCCTCTTTGTCCCATCAGCGAGCAGGTATAGTAGTATTTGAGTTGATCCCCACCGGCAGCGAGCAGGTATGCTGTGTGGTCGGTTCAATGCAATCAAGGTGTTCTTGTACGCTGGTCTCTGCCAAAGACAAAAAAACAAACAAAAATCAAAGTCAGCTCTCCAATTGGTGGTCTTTATAGTTTTCCACAATAAAGTCAACTCAAATGGCAATATTTTGAGGCAGACAATAAATAGTGAGAGAAATGTCCAAATTTACCCTTTTGAAGACAACAAGGTGTTGTTCAGCTTGATATGAGCACATCTTTCCATGTCTTTCCAGGGTGGTGGAATCAAATCAAGGAGGAGACAAATTGATGCAAGATTGCTGCCCCATTCTAAATTACAGATGAGAGAAGATGTGACAACTTGAAAAAAAAATGCAACAAAAAAATGCATGAACGTGTTTAGATAATCTTATTCTGAAATATAGACTTACCTCATCACTTATCATCTTTCACAGCAGAGTCAATCAGTTCCTTGAAGCTCTTCATGCTTGAAGCATTTCCAGGAACTAAGCTGAGATCTTCTAACCAAAAATCAAAAACAAAAAAAAACAATCAACAGTTACATAGCATAATGATAACCAAATCTCGCTCAGTGCTAGGCAGAGTAGTGCCATTCGCACCAGCCTTTAACATTCATCTTGGGTGACGCACAAGTAAACAACTCAAAGTACAGGTGTAAACGCAAAATTTCAAAGATGAACAAAAGTCTTTCCAGGTTTGGAATGACATGAGGGTTTGAAAAGACAATTTTACACTTTTGGGTCAACTAACCCTTTAACTTTTTGCAGTTTAATATCTTGAATTTACACAATTCATGAAGACACACCAATCACCATGCCATTAAAGGGATAGTTCACTTTGAAATTAATTTTTGATATGTTTTATCTTATCATAAGGGCATCCAAGATGTAGGTGTCTTTGTTTCCACAGTATTTTCAATTTTGATATTTTTAGGTCAAAGCGTTCTTGTCTGTCAGTCATATAATGCAGGTCTATGGTCACCACCTCAAAGAGCATGCACAGAGAAGTCCAAATTAAACATGATTTAATGACTCGTAAATGTAAGTACACATTGATGGCCTAAGACACGAAACGAGCGGTTTGTGTGAGAAAACCAACAGTATTTATATCGTTTTTACCTCTTGTAATCACAGTCACGTCCAAGTACACTGAGGGCGCGGGCGCTTCGGTCTGCTGCACAAGCGCCGGAAAGCCCCGGAAGTGTGCAATGTGTACGTACATTTACGAGTCATTAAATCATGTTTAATTTGGACTTCTCTGTGCATGTTCTTTGAGGTGGTGACCACAGACATCCATGATATGACTGACAGACAAGAACGGTTTGACCTAAAAATATCAAAATTGAAACTACTGTGGAAACAAAGACACCTACACCTACCTAGATGCCCCTCGAGGTAAGCTAAAACATATCAAAAATGTATTTCAAAGTGAACTATCCCTTTAATGACAATCAAGACACAATCACCAACAACACATGTAAATTCCAGTTCTGAAAAAAGGCATTGTATGGTTGCCCAGGTTTAGATTTTTCATGTTCATTCGTCATGTACTAAAATTTCTACAGCACATAGAATTAAAAATATAATGACACTCACAATTATGGATTAATCTTCAGCATTCTATTTCTTTCTTCATTTCTCTTTGCATTCTCATGAGAGGAGCTTCCTTCACTTGACACTGCAGGGGTCTGGGCAAAATCTATTGAAAAAGGATTCGAACAAATACTTATCAGTTGAGGCCAAAATTTAGTAATGCAATACAATTTAAATAAGAGATGTAAATATAGTAAAAAAAATAATTGAGATTACCATTAATTTTGATTAAGCTGAGAGCTGACTATAAAGCATGGGCGTCAAATTGTAAAATTATTTCTATTCACATCCTTCATTTTAGAATTAATTAAATGAATGTTACAAGTTAGTATCCACAAAACATTGTGCAATGTTCACATGTAGGCCTGCCTGAAACAGTTTAAAATGCATTTCATCTGATTAAATACATTTAAATAATTTAAATGAGTAGTGGCACCTTAAATTGAACTTGGTTAACTATATTCGATATTAAGACACATTTAGAATTATTTTACCCATAACTTATTAATGTTATTTATTAACTTATTAATGTTATTTATTATGTTAACAGAAAATACAGATTCATATTAATAAAATACAGACAGACAGATAGTTAGTACATAATTTATAATAACACGCAGTATGAATTGATAAAGAAGACTGATTAACGTTATAAGCTAAAGTACTGTATGCTCTGCCAGTGCTCACGTAGCTAAGTTAAATAACGTTACCTATAAACTGAACTGGAAGACAGACGGATTTATAGATTAGCTTCAACTCAATTTCACGTTTGAAATTAACTGCCATAAAAAAAGAACTTGACGCAAATATGACGACATGATATTCAGTGTTAAGAACAAGCAAAGTTCTATCGTTACATACTTAAACACCCTATTAATAATGCGCATGTGTCGCGAAAACGGAATTGTTAACGTTTTAATGTATACACACAAAACAAATCTAAAATTACCATTTGAAGAATTCTCTCAAAAAGCCCAAATGGTGCCGCTTCAGACCTCCTCGTCAGCTTCAGCGCCAGGCTCGTCTTTAACCCAGGCCTTGGCGCGACTGGAGGCGGGAACGCAACTTTCATGATGTCTGTCAACAAACCAAAATGAAATAAGCCGAATATATATACACAAAACAAATTGTAAGCACATTCCAACTAATTTATTTAACAAATTTTATCGGCATGAGAAACGTTTCTTCTTTTTCTTCTGTAACTTAGGTACATCTCTGCATCTCATGAACTTGACGAGCTTCCTTAACCCATACAAAAACGCGCAGTTGATCATTTCTAAATGTGTTCACCACTATAGTTTTCTAAAAATGTAAACAAATGCATGTAAGTTACTATTTAATATTAAGAAAGAGAAAGGCAATTCAACCTACCGTCTCGCTCCTCGCATGAAGATAAAATGGCGCTGTCGTCTTGTGAGGCAGAAGCATCGAGGGGCGGAGTCAATACAATTCGGCGCGTCTTTTTACACTTTCAGTGTAAAAATAAAATTACACTATGTGGCACCCTGTAGGCTACACTGAAGGGGAGTACCCTTTAACACTGTAGATTGTTAATTTAACACTTTAGGAATAGATAACTTTTAACACTGGAATTTTTACACTGGCGATTTTACTGTGAAGTTGTTCTGGTAGAATTACATTAGTATACTCTCACTGTAGCTCAGTGTCTTGGTTTCTTGTTTCTGTCGAACTGCAGAGGTTGAGTATGCTGATGCATGTTAAAGCGGACAACTCAAGCATTCAACTTGATCGTGAAGATAACACCGCAGCATTGGAGATTTCAGATAAGACGTCTTGTTGTTTCCTGTCATGCTATCCTCCCGGCACTCTCTCTTACTTTCCCATCTCTCTTTCTGTATGTTTTGCATAGGTCACAGCCAATTTCTGCACTCTTTTTTAATCCCTTTTTTTTTTTTTTTGCATAATGATGCATAATTCATGAGGAGCTTGTGAATATGAATGAGTGTGGCAGTGTCATGTCATAGAAGTGAGTTTTTAAGCGGACTCATAAGGGTCACTAATGCAGCGAACACCTCTAAAGACACGACTGTCTCCAAACATGCCGACTGCAACTCAATCTTCTCTTTAGTCTGAGGGTAATCTAAGGTTCATTCGCAATCATCATTAAATGCACATTATTTGAAAGTGTATTAGCTTTCCAGTTCTACATCAGGGGTCAGGATGAGTGTGTACATGGAAAAAAAACAGATGTGTGGTTAAAGAGGTTGACTTTAGAGATTGTATCTACTCAAAAACGTGTTTTCCAACAATATTGTTTCCAACAATATTAGGGCTGTGCAAAAATTAATTGCGATTAATCGCATTCCAAAATAAAAGTCTGTGTTTACATAATATGATTGATTGATTGATTTACTTTAATATTTTTTGTGTGCTGTATATAATCATTTTGTACATATAAATACACACACATGCATGTCTTGATTTAAGAAAATGTGTTATTCATATATAAAATATTTATATTTATATAATATAGATTATGTATTTAAATATATATACAGAATTTAAGCGCAAATAATTCTTAAATATATACATGCATGCATAGGTATTTATATATACAAAATAATTATATACAGCACACACAAATATATTATGTAAACACAGACTTTTATTTTGGATGCGATTAATCGCAATTAATTTTTGCACAGCCCTAATGTATACATATATATATATATATATATATATATATATATATATATATATATATATTCAAGTTGAAGTGTGACAACTAGTGTATTAACTAAGCAAATATTTGTGGGGATAGAATTGATGCATTATTCCAAATAAATGGATTAGCATTCACAAATAAATGTAAAGAGTTTCACAAAAAATTGTACAATTCACAATTAAAAAGATTAAGATCCACAAATAAATGTAGAGTTTCACAAAAATGTATACAATTTACAAATAAAAATGAGATTTGCAAATAAAAAAAATATTTACAAATGTTTTATTATATTACCAATACGACTCTTCCTGGCATTTATTTGTGAATCTGTTTTCTGTTCATTTGTAAATCGCTGCACACATTTGTGAATTGCTTCTTGTGCATTTGTAAATCCCCTCACGCATCTGTGAATTTTGAAACACTTCTAGCGTCGACTTGCAGACAAATCCTCAAATAAGTGGACTCCACCCACCGTTTACTCAAGCCAATCAGATAACGGGCCGCATTGGGCTGGCCAATTGTAGCACATTCTCGCTACAACCAATCGCGTTTGGTTTTACACTCGGGGAAGGAACTGATTGAATCCTTGAAAGGAGCAGTAATAATCTTTGGGTGCTTCGTTCAAATTGAGCTGAACTTGTTTGTGTGGTTAAAACACCGTTTTCAAAAGATTGTTGGAGTTTAAGGCCTTTTTAGATCTGGCCGTTATCTGATTGGCTTGAGTAAACGGTGGGTGGAGTCCACTTATTTGTGAATTTGTCTGCAAGTCGACGCTAGAAGTGTTTCAAAATCCACAGATGCGTGAGGGGATTTACAAATGCACAAGAAGCAATTCACAAATGTGTAGAGTTTGTAAAATAATAAAACATTTGTAAATACTTTTTTATTTGCAAGTCTCATTTTATTTATTTGTGAATTTGGTACATTTTTGTGAATCTCTTTACATTTGTTTGTGAATATTAACCTATTTATTCGTAATAATGCAACAATTCTAACCCATAAATATGCCATTATTGTGAGAACAGTATTTGCACAGTCCTTTTGCAATGATTTGTGGGTGATATTAGCCCAAAACTCATGCACAGATGTACACTTTGAAAACCCACAGAAAACTGAATGCCATCTGGGCACTTTTGACATACTATTTCCAACGTACAATGGAACATACTAATCCTAATCTCACTGACTGGCCTAGATAGTACGTAGATAGTATCTTTCCTTTTGAAAATTCATTCACTTCAACTCTTGTATATCAAAGTCAAAGCATTTCTGTATTTCTCTAATTTATTATGTGGACTGTGCATATATTCTCAACATACTGTATTTTTCCAGGCTTCAGGTGCTACCTGACCTTCAATATATTTGTAAGACTTGTCTGTTTAGGCTGTCATGCGTTCATCTACACATTTGTGACCATCAGCCACCTAGTGTGTATAATAGCCATATGCATATGATAGGTGTTCAACTTTCTATGCATGTGTTGTTGAGCATGCTGACGGGGAGGTGTGAAGCTGGAGTGGATGATGTGTCCCAGCTGAGCGTGAAATTGAAATTGCTCCAAACAGCAGAGGGAAAAAGAGAGTGAGAAAGACAAAGAGATAGATGGATGGATGGATGGATAGTCTTTAAAGTTCCCCTCCTTAAATATAACAAAACCTGAGACCCCATTTGTGAGGGTTCACAAGAGAGTGGAAGGAGAACAACACATACAGTATAAGCGAACTGAAAAGCAGCTATTGTTAATGCAGATTGGTTGGGAGATATTTAATAAAGTAGCATGAATTAAACACCTTATAACTGTGTTATTTTACTCTGGCTCATGGTTTTCATATTCGCCACATTGCCCATATACTCCTGGCACACTGAAGAAGGCATGCGCCGAAATTTTGCGCCTGTGCAAATAAAATAAAAGAATATATGCATAGTATGCCCTCTCCCATTTTCCGTATACTCCTGCGCCATAGCAGTAATCAGCAAGTTTATAGACTATGAATCAATGGTTCAGATAAGTGACCGTTTGTTTGGAGCATTCAAAAACGAAACGTTTTTTTTGCATCAATATTTGACCTCGAAGCATATAAGTTCCCTCACCCCCTTAGGGAACTCAGATTAGGAACCACTGTGTGAGGCTGGAAGCTTGCATTGCTATTTTGAACCGATAATCAGAACAAAAATGCAGCCCTACAACCACTATATCCACAATCCTCTAGTCTAGAAGTACTGCCAACGCTTTCTCCTTAAAACACCATCTGTTAAACTCACTCTCTATCTCACCTTGGGAAAACCAAACATCCACCATTTGAAGCTGTTGTCATTCATTGTTACATATTTTATAGGCTAAGCTGCATTATGCAACATTTAATTTAAACATGACACTTTTCAGTGTTTCATTTGCAAGCAATATCACAACAAATGAAAACAATGTGCAGATAATCACATCTAAAGAACCACAATTGATTTTTAGTTTTCTCCAATATTGTTAGATGCTAAAGAAACCAAAGCATCAATGCAAAGTGACAGCCAGTCTTGAACAGTGTATATGAACTACATGGAGTTGACACTACTCGAAGCATTCTGGTCCACTAAATTTCCACTCAGGGTTTTTCATTTCACATTTCCTATCCACCTTATTTTTAATGTAAAAAGCTGGTGCAGCCATTTGTAACATGATTGTAAAAGCTTATGGTGTCATTCGCTTCTAGTTATTTTAAAGGGTTAGTTCACCCAAAAATGAAAATTCTGTCAGTATTTACTCACCCTCATGTTGTTCCAACCCCGAAAGACCTTCGTTCATCTTCGGAACACAAATTAAGATATTTTTGATGAAATCTGAGAGCTGGATCACTCTTGCATACTAGTCCATAGGCTTCTTGAGGGATTGAAACTTGCCGGCCTCAAAAAGTTATTAAAGACATCGTTAAAATTGTCCAAGTGACTACAGTGGCTCAATCTTAACTTTATCAAGCGACAAAAAACAACAAAAATAACGACTTTATTTCTACTATTCACTTCCTTCTCTATGGGCCTCTAGCCAGTTAACGTAGTGTGATAGCGTAGGGCTACGTCACACGTAAGCTCACTATTGGCCGACGCTGGTCATGCGTGTGATGCGTGTGACGTACAATAACAGAAGCTTACGTTATTAATCTAGTAACCTGACTCGAGGCAGAGAGAGAAGGAAATGAATAGTTGAAATAAAGTCGTTATTTTTGTTGTTTCTTACGCACAAAACGTTTTCTCGTCGTTTGATAAAGTTAAGATTGAGCCACTGAAGTCACTTGGACTATTTTAACGATGTCTTTAATAATTTTTCGAGGCCAGCAAGTTTCAATTCCTCAAGAAGCCTATGGACTATTATGGAGGAGTTATCCAGCTCTCAGATTTCATCAAAAATATCTTCATTTGTGTTCCGAAGATGAACGAAGGTCTTACGGGGTTGGAACAACATGACGGTGAGTAAATACTGACAGAATTTTCATTTTTGGGTGAAATATCCCTTTAAGTTATACAAAAAGTCTGTTATGCTGCTTGATATTGCAAACTGGCATTTGTTAAAGTTAAATCAAACTTTTAATGTTGCTTATATGTCTGTGTTGTTTTGAACATGCTCTAAGTCAAATCATAAACAAATGCATAAATCAACACCTGTCAGGTGTGGTGATGGCGAAAGGAGCAAGGACTCCAGGGAAGAGTTGATGGGTTTTTAATAATAAAATAAAACAAAACAGACAACAAATACTACCCCGAGGGGGAAAATAATAGAGACTTGAATGACTTGACCTGACTGAAGCATACAGCAGGGAAACACACAGTAAACATATGACGATAAACCAGCACAGGACTAAAAACACAAGAAGAATCGAGGGAATGCGCGTGACATCACCGTCGGCCGAAGTGCCTGCAGTTACTCACAGTGAGTGGCAAAAAG